ATCTTGTCGTTTTTTCCAACAAATGGAGGAATGCAAAACGAAATAAATAATTTTCCTTGTCAATTTCTTTCAGAGATATTTTATTCCATAAATTAATAGGAAAACTGTTTATAGACAGAATTTAATGCAAATTCATTTTAAAGAATATTGAATCCTCTATACCCTTTTGCAGCTCTCCAATAGGTTCTCCTAAAAAAAGATGTCTGGCGATGAGGAAAACATTTCTGCGTCAAATTATATGAAACCTGAAATCCAAAAAACTTTGGTATTATAATGAATGAAAACAGAAAAAAAATTAGACTTTTGACAAAATGGTGGCTTCAAATATTAGAAAAAATTTAAATTATTTGCAAAAATTTCTTCAATTATTACCCTACAAATATTTCTTAAAGGTCGAAATATCAGCCGTTTTAGAGAAATTTTTCTCACCGACTCTGAAAACACTAGTTAAACTACGCCGCCTTGCTCTTCGCCTATTTTCAAATGCCACGAGATTTCCGTAATGATAAGATCATATCACCGAGACTGTTTGTAGGATCAACTTCAGATTTTCGAAAAATATGTTCTCAAATATATGAGCATTCGAAAAAAAGAAAATGTTTTTTTTTTTTTAAATATCAAGTGGATATGACTCTTTGAGCTACCGACAAAAGGCTCTTGAATTCTTTTGCAAAGATTGTAATTTCATTTAAGAAATAGAATCGAGCTGGAAAGGCTGGAACTTCCCTGCTGAATTATTACTTTTTAATAAGATAAATTTTCTATCAATTTGGATATCAATCCGGCAGTTTTTCAAACCTCTGATACTCCGCACGGTAGACTATTATGCCCGTATTGGGAAAATAAGTGACTTTTTAGATGTTGGACTTGCTTTAAATTATCAAAAACAGAGTCTGATGTTGACAAAAAAATTTGATTGACCTGATCTGTATCCAAAGACTTATAGCTGCTTTTAAATTGGGCTTTGACATCTTCAACTATATTCTCGATGAATCAGGGAGCACAGCAGATCTGAAAACTATATATTTCCAGCGAAATTTAATGCCAGCAAAGGCTCTGGCTAATTACTGGCTAATTGATTGGATTTGTATTTTATTCTCTGACAGTCAAGCTGACATCACATCTAGACAATATAATTGTACCATATCAAAAAGATCTCCAGAAGAATCCTAAATAAACTCTCAAGAAAATTATATAAGACGGCGGCGGGGTACATGGAAGAGGAAGTATCCATTGAGTATGTAAATAATTAACTCAAAACACGCCTATGCTGTAGATTAGTATAAGTTCTCAAAAGTTTTATGTTAAATTATGATGAATTATCGAAGAGGCGACTGTTGTAGTAGCGAGGTTACCAACATTAACATTATAGAAAGATTAATTAATTTTTTAATTGCAGTTGCACCTCGGTAGGAAATGTCAAGTGCGCCATGTTTATATGTCATAAGGTTTATTAGCTCCTAAAAAATTGATCAGTCTACAATAAATTGAAAGCCATTTGTTGGAAAAACATAAAGACAAATAGAATATTCTCCTGGAAATTTTAATTTAGCATATTCTTAGTGATCTTTTCTTTTAATAATAACAAACTGGGAGTAATTAAGCGCAATAAAATGTCTAGCATTCTCACAAACACACATAGTCATTTCAAAAAAAAAAATTTGGTTTAAAACTAAATATAACTCCGATGTATTAATTTAAAAAATTTTAGTGGAACTTGATATTTCTTTTAATCCCTTTAAAATTCACTAAACCCACATACTCTTCACAAAAAAAAATTGCTTTTTCCAACACAAAACATACTTACATATGAACATATATACTCGCATGCTCTACCACAATTAGTAGCGCACCTGACCTACATCTTTACACCACACACGACATACGTGTACGTATGTATGCACATGTGCATGTGTAAGTACAATAGCAGCTTTTAATTAATTTGAGCATTTATAATTTTGCATTTCAGCATTTAATGCTTGACATACTCAATTATCGTACAATGTTCAACACCATTTGTAATTGGAAAATAAATGAAATCATTGCCCCACACCAAGCAATGAGTCATGGCAAATATTGTTGTAGAATTCTATGCATATCTCGATATTTATATATGTATATGTTTATACACTACATTTGCACTCAACTGCCATATTTCAACGTTTGTGTGTATGCGTGTATATAACTTGGCACCGTTTCGCGTCATCACGTAAAGTCTGCGGATTGGAATATTTGAATGAAAATATATTCTGCATTTACATATTTAACACGTATACATATTTACATAAATAACGGTATATATATGTATGTATGTATTTTTAAATTATTTAGTCTTGAGCAAGCAAACAGCTTCATTTTCTCTTTCTTTTCTCGAATTTTTCTTTTCTTTTTTTTTATTTATTTTTATGCCACAAAGTTGTACGGGTCGTATGAGCAACTTTTTTATATTATTTATTCACTCGCCACGTACAATGTGTCACATGAATAATTGAAAATCAAGTTTGTTTCACGTACATACCTATGCATACTTTGTTGTTAGTACACGCTTATATGTAAGCGACAATGGTTTTGCATATACGAGTATGTGTTACATATACATAATTTGCCTGCCACTAAAGAAAAGTGGAGCTTTTTTTCTAATTTGTACTCAATTTTTATTCATTTACCTTAATAAATTAATATTTATTTATTACTTTTTCTATTTATGTATTATATATTTGTAAATGCATATATATTTCTATCTTTTTTGTTTAATTTTTTTTGTTTTAGGTGAGTTGAAATGCTTTTCCGTTCTACAAATATGAAAATTAAATTTCCGTGGGATAAAAACATTAATTTTCAGCAAGAAATATTTGCCATATTTAATTTAGATGCCACGAAGTCGCCAAATGACAAATCTATGTGGCATGGGATTTACTGAAAATAAAATTTTTTTTATATAAAATATCTGGTAAAAAATTCCATAGAGAGGTTGAACAGCTTTTCTGCTCAACTCGATCTACTTCAGACCAAATTTAAATTACTTTGAAACTATATACCCCAAGGCGATTTCATTCATTTATCATTAAACAGGCAATCAAAAAAAAAAAAAAAAAAAAACAAAAAACAAATATTAAACGCTTTTAAAATCAATTTCGCAACCTTTCCATGAAAAATGTAATACCAGTTGATTAAATTAAAAACGTTTATACGAAAATTAATATAAAATTTCTTTTTAACTTAAAATAATAGTAAAAAAAAATATTTAACGAAATATTCTTACCATCTGCTACTAACCAAAATTCAAAAGCAAAAATTGCCAAATTCGAATAAATGTTCGCTCACGCTCGGTGCTTATATTTTCTGCGCAATATCACTAAAAAAAAGTTTTTTTCCCAAAATTACTAATTAGGTTTAAAATTAAATATCAATAAGCTGCGTTTCAATAAATTTCAAATCGATTTTAAATAGTTTTCGCTATTACCATTTAATGTCAATTAATTTTTATTACTTTCTATTAAACATAAATAAGTAGAGTATATGAAACACACGCATGAATAGTTTGACTATTGGTTATTAATTTTGAGCGAAAACTGCGAGAAGTTAAATATGTATTTCATGACTTGCTGTACCCTGCAACGCTTCGCTGTCGCACTTTTTCATTAAATGGATGAAAAATTAATCATAGGATATATTTTTCTCATACCATCATTCTTTCCACTTCCAGGCGAGAGGAAAAGTCCAAATTTTTAAAACAGGCCAGTTCCCGGTCCACTTCCCAGAGAGATGACTAGTTTTCCTGTTAATATAAGCAAAAAACCATTTACTATATGTACGAGTATACCGCATTTAAAGCAAATCTACAAAAATTAATCCAGCAGTTGCTTAACTTCTAACTATATTGTAGTTTAAGAGACTGAATCGGTTACAGGTATTGCCTGTTTTGGATACCATAATTTAAAAGTACAGCTGAAGAACCGAATGTGTCTAATTATCGATGTTCTTTCCTACAGCAACAAACTGGACAATTGGACCAACAAAGTCCAGCTCTCGCTAAAATGGAAGCCAGCTGACCCTTCACAACGCCATACATACGACGATTGGGTGCTTGAACAACAAGCAGCAGATGGCGATTCTTCGATACAAATCCAATACAGCAGCGAGGCAAATTCCTCACTCGAGGGATACGTTTATCAGCAATAATGTGGCATTTGGAGCTCTAAAAATGCTAAATTATTGTGAGTGGACTTTACTTATTTGAAAACGACAACGGCGAGGCTGTTACTGTTTGGAGCATTATGATTGTATGACCACCAACTTTTTTCAGTTTTAGTCTGTAGTTGAAGGACACGACTTTAAGCGTATGTGGTTTCAAAAAAAAAAAAATGGTGCCACGTGCCACAGAAAACGACAGAAATTTCCCAACCAGGTACTCTCTCGTCTTGTCGACCTCAACGACCCTCCGAGATGGTACGTTTTGATGGCGTTGGACTCTCTTTTGTGGGGCTACTAAAATACACTGTTTTTGATGAAAACCCGTTAATTCTTGGGCGCTTGAAAACCAACATTAGTTAATATATGGCAGAACTACCGCCCAAGATGAGCCAAAACGTGATGGAAAATTATCTCAAATGGACCGAAGTCTGTAAAATTCACGAGTCGCTCATTTAAATAATGTATTATTTCATTTATAATGCCAAATTTCTCTGGGATGAAATATGTTAAATTACACTAATTTTTTTTTCAACATTTTATAAAAAAAAATTAAAATATTTTTAAATTTTTCATATACCAAAAATAGTTTGCTAAATTCGTACCTTGCGTGTCTTGTTTATTTATCACAAAGTCAAAAGAAAAAAATGGTAAGAAAATATCATATTGAGTTATGTTGTTCTTGCATTAAAGAAAATCTCAAATTTTTTGAATATTATTCTTTTATAATATATATAAAACTGTTTTTATTTCATAGTTTCTTTATTTAAACCCTCGATAAAAATATTTTCTCCACAAAACCACCTACATTATGAGAGTGTATAGTATAATTTTACAACGGTACGCAGAGTATTATATGTATACCACGAGGTAACAACTTGATAATCACCCTTGGGAAAGGGCAGCACTTTTGAAAATATATTGTCGGCATGACTGACAGGCAACTCATTTACCTCAATATCGTGCTGTAAACAATAGCAAAAGGGAAGTAACATGAAATTCATACGAAATAAATCAGTAAATACAAAGATGAAAAGTTATATACACAACTTACAGTGTATGGGCAGGTGTGATTGATGTTTGAGTACTTGTGAAATATGCCGTGCATAAAACGCAGCAGCGGATTACCGCCAATGCGCAAAAACTTACAACCGTCCACAGTGACATTGTACAAAAAGGGCTTATAGCCGTTCGCTCGTTTTAGAAAGGCCACACCCACCTGAAAGAAGAATGTTTGTTTTGTGAGTTTATAGTTTTATAAGCAAATTAAATAAATTTTAGGAAAACACTTCGAAAGAATTTGTTGGAAAAATTTTAAATTAAATTAAGTAAGGTGTAATAAAATGAACTAATCTTAAAAAAAATTATAAAATAAAAAAAAATATAATATAACAATATAAAATAAAAAATAAAATTATTTGAAACCAAATGATATAAAATAAAATAAAAAATACAACAAAAATTTTAAATAAAAAATTTAATAAAATAAAATAAGGTGAAATAAAATAAACAAATATTAAACAAAATTATATAAAATAAAATTAAATAAAATAAAATTATAGTGTATGAATCTAAAAGATATAATATTAAATAAAATAAAAAATAGAACAAGAAATTAAAATGAAAAATACAATAAAAGTATGTAGGTGCTTTTTTGTAGAAAAAATATTTTAATCGAGGGTTTAAATAAAGAAATTATGAAATAAAAACGGTTTTATATATATAAGAAAAGAATAAAATTAAAAAAATTTGAGATTTTCTTTAAAACAAGAACAGCATAACTTAATATGATATTTTCTTAGTATTTTTTCTTTTGACTTTGTAATAAATAAACAAGACACGTAGGTACGAATTTAGGAAACTATTTCTGTTATACGAAAAATAAAAAATGTTATATAATAAACTTAAATCAAATAAAATCAAATAAAATCAAATAGAATAGAATGAAATAAACTAAATAAAAAAAAAAATAAAAAAAAAATTATATTAAATAAAAGTAAATTACATAAAATATTATTTTTCAAATTATAATAAAATTAAGTCAAATAAAATAAAATTAAAATAAATTAAATTAAATGAATTAAAATAAAATGTTTAGACAAACTAAAATAAAAAATAAATAAACGAAAATCAAGCAAAATAATATCAGAATAAATTAAATTAAATTAAATTATATGTAATAAAATAAAATAAAACAAAATATCAAAATAAAAGAATTAAATTGAATTAAATAAATTTAAATATGATAAAATGAAATAAAATAAATTAGAAATAAATAAATTAAAATAAAATAAAAAGAAAGAAAAAATAAGATGATATAAAATAAAAATAAATTTAATTAAATAAAATAAAATAAATAAAATAAAAATATATAATAAGTAATAAAATAAACCGAAATAAATAAAAAAATACCACCGTTTACATATTTTTTTCTTCTGCTAATATAATATTCAATTAAACATTTTTTAAATACATTTTATTTACCGATATATTTGTAATAGGCTCCTTGAAATGAAAGTGATTCGATGCCGAGAAATATTTATAGGTGCGATTAACTGCTTTTATATAACAGTACTTAACCGAATTGTACGCTTTGTCCACTGCATCACATTTGATATTAGTGAAATCAACTTTTGACATCACTTTGGTAACCTGTCACATAAATATTCTCACATTTTTTTTACAAGCATGAGTAGTTAGTAGATAAACATATAAATACGTCCCAACTTACAAGAGTGCCAAAGAGTAATAATAAAATATGTAATAAATATAATTTCATTGCCTGTGGTTTCTCTTCTTTGAACCAAGGACTTTTTCCAAAAATCGTGAAAAAATCTTAAAAAAAATTGTTCCTGCTAAAAAGTCCCATCTAATGGTGAACTAACTTCCGATTAATTTCCATAAATTCATTTGTCGATTTATGAACTTATAAGTGTCATTTCCACCAAACATACTTACATGTATACATATATATATATATAATAATTCCAATTGACAAAAATGTATTTTTAATTGATTTCACAACATATACTTTTGCAAAAAAATGTCAACAATTAAATATTAAATTAAAGCTTTGCGGGTTTTATGCTTTCAGAAGCAAACAGTTATTAAAATAATTTTATTCCAAGAGTATATGTTCCGCAGTAGCCGAGTGGTTAGCACTGGTACTGGCATTCGGAATGCTCCAATAAAAAATCAAGTTTTCAAAATTTAGCCAAATTTTCTAATTTCGGTCACCCCTCGACAGTGCATAGCGGACATAAAAAAGGCTCCAGGTTAAGTAAGTTTGAGTTCGACGTATGCACTAATATATTTGTAAAATTAAAATAAAAAGTAAAATTTTATCTTAAGTTGTGAAGAATTTCTTAAATTTTAAGATATTATTTTCACACCTCAAACCGCTTTTTTCGCTTGGAAACTTCAATTGCTTATCTTATAAATACAAACATATGTATGTAAAAAAATATGTAATGAAAACGAAATATATTGAATATGAAAAATAATATTATAAATGAAAAGAATGAGAAAGAGAATATTAAAAAAGAAAGAACGAAAAGTTAAAAGGCGAAGAGTGAAACATTTTCATAAGATTGACGTTTAATATCAATAACTTCATTTCAGCCAATTGCCCTCCAGGCGCTCATAATTTCAACAGACGAGTTGAGAAAGTTTTCCTTTATGCGAATCGCGCTGAAAATTGTGGAAAATGTAAAACAGTAATTTGTAAAAAGTATTTACCATTAAGATGAACGATCTAGACAGACTGAAGTAAGAGCTTTTCTAAGAGTTTCTTTATTTTGCTTAATAATTGCGTTTATTAAATATGTGGGTGCTTCATTTCAAAGCACGAAATGAACAGAGTCGCTGATATTTAGCCCGAACTCAATGTAGAATTGAAATTGAAAAGAAAGTTCCATAAATCGGGACACTTAGAAAATATTCAAAAAAAAATATTTAAAAAAATTCGAAAGACACCAAGTGAAGGTGTACTTATGAACCCTCGTTCTGAACATTTAAAGTAGAGCTATTTACTAATGAAAAAACTTAGGCCCTAACACCGATTTAAAATCTGTAAGTTTTTTATAAAACTTATGTTTCGATTGCGAGTCAAAATTTCGAGCAATCATGTTTTGGTTTTGCACCATGTTTACTCTAGTGGGTGCAGCGCAACATCAAAGATGCCATACAGTGCTGTTGTGGCGCAGATTATAGAAGGAGACCCGAGTGAGCACAGAATGCGGAGTAACAGAATCCAAATCGTACAGGAAGTGAAGCTGGTGGTCATTTTCGCTGTATAGATGACCAACGACACCGACTTTCACAGGAAGATTTTGTTCAGCAATGAAGCTCACTTTTGGTGGAATGACTTTTTTGGTAAAAAATAATGTCGCAATTGGAGTGATAATAATCCACAACTCACTGTTGAGACGCCGTTACATCCACAAAAAGTCACAGTTGGAAGTGATTTTTGGGCGGTGAGAATATTTCGTCTATACTTCCCCGATAAATAAAGCCTTATGGCCGGCTAGTAAAATATGAAAGATTACTCTCCTGAATCGGAGGCTGTGGTCAACTTTCAGTTCCAACAATACGGTGCTGTTCATGACAGACAGTCAACAAAGCTATAAATTTATTGAAGGAAACTTATGGAGCGCTAATCCCGATACGACTGACGTCTTGCAAGGAGTACAAGAATTAAATGAAAACTGAGTATTATTCCGCTGAGGATTTTACCACCAAGATAACGATCAGTAACCGATAGCAGTGACGGTATTCGGTGAAAAACCCTAACAACAACATTGCTACTCATACCTTGCCTTCTTATTATAATATTTTGCTTGCTTCTAAGCATCTATTAAGTCTTCTTTACTTAATCGAGGTTATCAAGAGACAAGCAAAGTAGGTCAATCGTTTCCTGTTTTAGTTATTCGGTGTCAATTAGAAGCAGGATTCTCCTCCAGATTGTCTTTCCATAGCAGACTCTCTAATTCTATTAATACGTCACTGTCTGTTAATTTGCCAAACTAGGTCAGTATGGCTTTACGTCTTATACATCTCACCGTCCCATCCATCACCTCGTCGTATTCGTCACTGCGTATTCCTAAGGACCATAAATCTTTTCCAAAACATTTCTCTCGAAGTTGAGCCTATACAGCTTCCATAGTGTTTCCGCAGCCTGCAGTTAAAGAAATGGCTCAGTTAAGTCTTGAAAAAAATTGAGAATATTGAAAACTTACTTTTAAAATAATAATAAAACTTCCACCGATCGAAGTTAGTAATAAAATTTAGGCCGAAAAACGAAAACGCAACGTCGGTATCAACAGCCAACTCGCAGCTTGACTCCTTTGGGCTATTTTATAGGAAGGGAAATGGATGTTATGTTAATCCACAGCCACAACCGGTAACTGAATAGGTTTATATTGAAAGAAAATGATATGTACATTTCGTAATCTTATATCGTCAATGACAAAAGACAGTATTTATTACGCGTAACCGTTGTTGGGTAATATGTAATAAATCCTCTCATTTTCGTCCTTGAAAAATGCAATAAAAATACAAACTAGTGACTTGGCTATTACGTTTAATTGCCCTTACAGGACACTTAATCAATAGAAAACTCAAAGGGCACGCACTCAAAGTAAAAAATATCAAATTGTTCCTTCATGCGGGAGTAGTAAATCTCAAATGTTTTTACTTTTGGTTTTTTTTTTTTTTTTCGTTCCAGTCACATCAAGTGGCCACTAAGGGCTTTTCACTCACTTCACTCCACTACAGTTCATTTCCCTAGCCACCTTCTATGCAAATTTCAAACAAATTTTCAGCCAAAGGCTGGGGAGTAAGGCGAGTTTGGTAGTTGCCAAAGAACTGCGGCACAAAGGTCAACTGGCAAATGTGTGAACGAAGGTGGCAAAAAAAAATTTGGCATGTCACAAAAATATCGGGCATATACATATGCACATACACAGCCACACAAGTGGCTACTATTGAGGTTTTGTCAATGTGTGCCATAGGGTTTTGTGGTGGTTGGCTTAACGCGCTGCTCACTGGATTTGGGGCGACGGAAATCGCGACTGCACTTTCGGAAATTTATAGCACAGGTCAGAGCAATTTAATTTTGGCCACACACAATAGGTGGTAGGTGTTATGAATAGCGCGAGCATACATATACACACGCTCATACCAGAGGGTTTGCTAGGTGATGGAATAAAGCGGTGATGGTCGGAGTTAGAGTAAGTGATTGTCCGAAAAGCAAGCGGACAAACATGCATACATATATAATTGGAAATATACGTGATGTGTGTGTATGTGTGTGCGTTTGTGTGAATTTGCAAATTTGCGGCAACACTTTCTCGTAGCTCGGTTTCTTATATGTACTTCAATTCACCGCACTTCCTTCAGCGAATTGTATGAACGATAAAGTCACTCATTTGTATACATGCATGTGTGTGTGTGTGTGTGTGTATGTATCTTCAGGTGTGTAAATGAGTTAGTATATGCGTACGTGTAGCACAAAAACGCATTTTTACTGCAACCATAAATTCAGATTTAATGCGACAATAGGAAAATCCGGTCTTTCATTCTGCCCAAAAACTGCCTTCAACCAAATACACAAACATACATACATACATACGTACGAATCTACCTATACAAGTAGCTTCTTAATTTCGCACTAAGTTGAAAGCAGCATTGTTATTTTTCACCACACCTTATGCTCACCTTTTAACAGTATTATTACAGCCATTCGTATAAGCTTAGCTTGCCAACACCTTACATACATAAATACAATAGAATATCGAATAGAGTATGAATTCCTTGAGGACAGCTTAGAAAACTTCTTTTGTTGTTCTTGTTGTTGTTGCTGTTGTTGTTGCTGTTGTTGGTGTAACGCATTTCGGCACTTCATTTGAATATCACTTGCACAGCTTTACATACTCATACATACATACATAGAAGCGCGCTGTCTCACTTGCACTCACACACACACACGCCCATTTCTCAGCAACTATTTTGCATAAGAAACCAATTTGAGTATAATGGACAGCAGTTACCGGCGCATAGGTGCGCAAAACTTTGCCAGCGTTCACAGTGTTCACTCAATGAAATCTTTTCTTTCCCTTCACTTTTTCCGTCAGCGCAAAAAAAAATGTGAATTCACTTTTATTTACTACTTTTCCGTTTGTATGAATCTCAATTTAAATTGCTGGCAATTTAAATGCGGGAAAAGACGTAAAATAATTTGGACCATCAAACAGAGTGAAAAAGGTGCAGAGAAGGTGAGCCGGTGAGCTGGAGCGTGTGTGCGTGTTAGCTATTTAATTTTGGTTTACATGTACCGTCTTATATGAAGCAGGTAATAAAAGAAGTGGCTGTTGACTGTTGGTGAGGGAAATTGGATTTCTCATAATTTATAAGGCCAAAGGGAGTGGAATATTGTCAAATGGGAATTAAAAGGAATTAAACCGGTTTAAGTAGCCTTTCATAGAGTTGAGTAATTTTATGCAAAAAAAAATTGCTGGATGTTGATGTAGAACAAAGTAGAGCTAGTTAAAGTATAAATTATTTTAATTTCTCGTCGCTGAAGGAAATTTTTTTGCAAAAAATCAGCTTTCACTGCTTGTTGTTCAAGCACCCAATCGACG